CTGGCTCTCGTAGCCAAAAACTATACAGTCAGCTGACTTATTAAAGCACTTCACCTCCCAGATATGTTCAGTCTTGCAACAGCAGAATGGTCATGCTATTACAGTCCATGGCATTAGATGCATTAAAACATTAATTTATCTGTCTTGTATTCACAAAAACTGAAAAAAGGAACAAGTCCCAAATATTACGTGACAATTTCTTGCCTCCTTTTCAACATTCAAAAGGGTGGAAACTTTCTTTTTTGCAATTTTTGGTCATTTCAATAAAAAAAGAGAGGAAAAGCTCAATTAAAAAGAGGATACAGTACTTGGTGAAATTAATGTATTACTAACACAGATTGTGCAAATCTCTTGTTCCTGTATTGTTGTCTCTCTCCTGGTCTACACTCACACATCACAAAACAGGTCAACATCATTAGAGATTAACACCAATTGACAATCCAGCATAATGCCAGCTCGAGCCAACTTCAAGGGCATTCAACACTGTGCGAGAGAAAGGTATCTACACACAAACCATAACACACATATATGTACATGTACACCAACATCCACAACACTCCTTAGTCCTGAAAAAAGATGCCCTCCTCAGCCCTGCGTTCCTGTGTGCCATCCTGCCCCCCAACCAATGCCACCCTGCCCTCCTCAGCCCTGCGTTCCTGTGTGCTATCCTCCTTCTCAGCCTTATGCATGGTGTGGACCACAGCCTGGCTGGGGGTATGGATGTGGCCATGGACCCAGTAGTGGTCAAGGACCCAGTGGAATCCGAGGATCCAGTGGTGACCAAGGACCCAGTGGTGATCAAGGATCCAGTGTTGGCAAAGGACCCAGTGGTGACCAAGGACCCAGTGGTGACCAAGGACCCAGTGGTGGTCAAGGACCCAGTGGTGGCAAAGGACCCTTTGGAATCCAAGGACCCTTTGGAATCCGAGGACCCAGTGGAATCCGAGGACCCAGTGGAATCCGAGGACCCAGTGGACCCATAGGACCCAGTGGTGGCCAAGGAGGTCAACACAAGCACAAGGCTGGCCACAAGCATGTCAATTGTCACAAGAAGGGGAAGGAGAGTCTTGGGGTAACATTCAACAAGAAATTTTGCACAAAATGATTTGGCAACTTTTTTGATAAGTTTTTAAGTAATCTTACACAATTCCAGTTCCACAAATTTAAAGATTTGCTTTTTCCTTGTAATTATTTGTAATAATAATAAATGTTTTAATCATTTGAATGTTTGGACTATTAGTTGGTCAAAACAAACATTGTGAAGTTGTTACTTTGGGCTCTGGGTTATTGGCATTTCTCAGTATTTCATGAAATTGTATCAACCAATCAATCAATTGATTCATGGAGAAAGTAATCCTGAATAATGAAGTAGTTCCAAATCTTTCATTGCTGATTGACTTGTTCTGTTTGTTTTTGTCTTTTATGTTTATCCCGGCTGTAGTCCTCCAGCAGCGGCTGCAGCAGCGACTCTGACTAGATGGACTCCTGACTCCTGGATGGAAACCTTCTTCCTCCTACTTTACACAAGAATCACCTTCAAAAGTTCTTCATAACTCATAATAATGTGTATTCTTGGTACTAAAGATGTAAAATCAAAAATTTAGTTCATTCACTGATTGTAATGATGAAAAACTAATCGAATAAATAAAGTGAAAACAGAGATGTTTGCTGGCTTTTCATAACTTTTGTTCAAGTCAAGTAATGTACATTAGCTGATGTTGTGATTGTGGCATATAAGAAACACATATCTAAATAAACAGTTCTTCATCTAAACAAATAGGAAAAAATGATTATCATGAGAAAAGGTGCTGTCTGTTGTCTGTTAGAGGCAATAAGCGGTTTAGACATAATTGCATTGTCAAATTGTCATTTAACCCTCAAATAAATTAAATAAATTACTGATGGTAAAAACAAAAGCACATAAATAATAAATTGGGAAAATGATGAAGCCAGCATCATTCTCTAATGGTAAGATGCTACTGACAAATATGACCCCAATAATCTGAATCTAAACAACCTGCAACACAATCCACACATTTAAATGTTGTTGTAAAGTAGTTTTTTGTTTTAAAAAAACCCTATATTTATATTTTTTAAGGATTATGAAGCAGGAACAAGCATGTGCAACAAATGATAGACAGGCCTCCCTGGTTACAATACACACACTCCTTTTGGTTACATGAATTTAGACTGCAAGGAGTGTATGTGATCTCAGAATAATTCATATTAATAGAGAATAAACCTCACGGTTGTGATTAGGGAACCTTTTCCATATCGTATAAGTGTGGATTTAATATAATGTAATGGATGTAATGGTATAAATTATATTAATTGTATTAATAATGATGAAGAAATGTTCATTTGAGACAAGTGTATGTTAGACACAAGCTCCAGGACAGGAGCAGAAGCCTGTTCACCAAAGATCAACATTCTCTGTTTGATTTCTTTAGGCTCAGTCAAACAACACTATGATCACTGAAACTGATTCAGGTCTTTTAGCTTCATGATTGGAACATATTTATAAATCTGTCTTCTGTCTTAGTGAAGAGAAAAAAATATATTATTGCCAAATACAGACACGAGCGGTGTTCAGTTAGTCGCAGTTGGAGTTGCGATGCAACTTCACTGCTAGATGCAACTGAATCCTACACACTGGACTTTTAAAACCCACATAAAGTGTCTCAGTAAGAGGTTGGGCCATTACATGTCACCGTAACAGCTTCAATGCAGCGTGGCATTGATTCTTCTCGGGAACACTGCCTGAGTGTATTTTAATGGTCACTATTTAAAAATGTTCTGTTTTTTATACAAATTTGTAAAATTATTTCCAATGAGGTCAAATGAAAAAGAGAATAAAGAGGCCAGACATTGTAGAGATTATTTGCTTTTATGATAAATTTGATGTTGTTAATCACAAGGGAACAATTATGATCAGTGTCTAATACATCAAAAGCATACACTATGTCACACATAATGTAAAAGTAATTAAAAAGAGAGTCAGAGAGTGGAGCTGTGGAGCTGATACAAGTGTTTAGTTCTTTTCACTTTACAATACACTGACTCAACACAAATACAAGGTAATAAAGTCTGTGACAGGTACTTTTAATTTGCTTTCATTAGAATTTAAAGAACAGAACAAAACAAGACACAACCTTTAAAACACAGGCTGTAACTGAAGGAAGCAGGATGAAGGTTTCCAGGAAGCAGCTTGTCTCATCTCTCTCTGATATCTCTCCTGCAGGAGCTGCTGGAGGACTACAGCAGAGACAAACAATGTCATTTTATTAATGGGGTGTCAATCAGTCAACAAATTCATAATTTAATGAAATCATCCATAACACTCTAATTAGATTATAAATTGATAATGTGATGTAAAAAAAATTCTTTCTATCTCAGACTAACTTTGTTTGCTGCTTATTTAATTTGTGTTTAACATGTTTTATTATTTGCATTAAGTTAAATTGGCTCATTAATGTGGCTTAAATGTAACTATTACTTTTTGTCAGTGGACTGTGGTACAGTATTTTCTTTGGCACAATAGAGACTCAATGATTTACACTTTACAGTTATCAATCAATCTTACCCCAGACACCCATCCAACCAGGCGGCCCATGCCATCCACAAGGGGAGGGTGAACGATAGCACACAGGAATACAGGGCTGATGAGGGCAGGGTTGGGGTGGAGTAGTGCCTGGTGGACATTGATGGTATCCTCCTGACATTGGCTGAGGATACCAACCAAAGGGATACTGGTTTCCTGGTCAAACAAAAATAGTGGGGCTCATCATTTTCTCTTTGTATACACTTGATGTCAGTTTGTGCTCCTTCAAATTCAAATTTAGTTTTTAAAGGTCCGATTTTAGTGAGAGTGAACGCAAGATAATAAATAATAAAATCCCAAGACTAAATGTAGGTGGCATGTGCTCATATTATGATACAGTTAAATGTCAGAGCTCAACTTAGTCATTTTAATTCAATCTCTGTTATTTCTATCCTGCACATTGTAAATATCATTCCTGTACAGTTTAGATCTTTCTATCTTTATCTTTATCTTTATCTTTATCTTTATTTATTTATATTCTAAAAAGTATTTTATTTTTTGTGTGATTTTTATGCACCAACGCACCAAGGCAAATTCCTTGTTCATGTAAAAACTTACTTAGCAATAAACCCGATTCTGATTCTGATTCTGATTTCTTGATCCATCAATTAGCGTTCAAAGCTATGAACTGTCAAAGTATAAAAGTATAAAAAAAGAGGCCAGGCATTGCAGAGATTACTTGCTTTTAAGATGATGATGATTTAATAACAAACAGAAGACAGGTTTATGTTGTTAATCCAAGGGAACAATTATGTGTCTAATACATCAAAAGCATACACTATGTCACAAATGTAGCTGATACAAATGTTTAGTTATTTTCACTTTAGAATGCATCATACAAGGTGATATAGTAGGTTACGTGACTTGAACTTAATTTGCTTTTATTATCCCACTATTTGATTGCTCTCTTTAAAAGAAAGGCTTTAAAATGCAGGTAATCAAATAAATTGATTATTATCATGGAAGGTAGCCGGATGAAAGTTTCCAGGTGGCAACTTGTCTTGTTAGTTGTTACAGAGTGGCTTCTGCAGGAGCTGCTGGACAACTACAGCAGGGACAAACATGTATTATTATTATTTATTAATTTAATAAAATAATGTAATCAGATACAATTATTAAATACCTGTTGGAAAATGTTGTCAGTAACAGAATTTAAAACAATTTGATTACTTTTTCTTACATTTGGACAACCTCAACAATAAATAGCAAATAAAGAGTAATAAAGAGAAAATAAATATCAGTAAGATTATACAGAACATCACTGGACTATGATTTTGTTGTCCTTTTCTGCTTTAAAGCATTTTGTTTACAGTGGCTATGATAATTAATTCATAGAATTATAATAGGAAGATCATTTGTGAGACTCACCAAGTGTTACAACACATATTGTTATTTTGAAATGTGTTTTATTTTATCCCTGTGAAAATGGCTCTTTAATATGACTTATTACTTATTGTCAGTGGATTGTGGTACAGTATGTACTTTGGTACAACAGAGACTCAGTGATTTACACTTTACGCTGATCAATAAATCAACTGGATCTTACCCTTAGTGGCCAGGACGCTAGCAGTATCTACCCAATTAGGCTGTGATCCACACCCTCCAGAAGGCTGGGGTGCAGGATAGTGCACAGGTGGAGCCCAGGGCTCAGCTGCAACATAGTACACAGGTGGACTATAGTACTGAGGAAGGCAGGGTTGGGGTGGACATCCTCCTGACATTGGCTGAGGATACCAGCCAGATGAATACTCGTTTCCTATAGTCAAATAAAAGATAATCAAATATTATTGTTTGTTTTAGTTTGTATACACATGATGTCAAAAAAAGGTAAAAGGTTTTAGTTGGAGTGAAGAAGACATTTACAACATGTGAGTTATTTACCTGTGTTACACCAGGACATTGTAGAATTTCAAATCCAAACCCTGAAACAAAACACATCACTTAATCACACACAAATCATCTCTAAACATTACTACACAAAACACTACAGCTACAGAAAAGATAGTAAAGAAGACTGTAGTAGAATGTGTCTTATACTGATGAAGACATGATGACAGCATAATGCTATATAATTAACAAAGGAAATACAAGATGACTATATCTATCAATGCAAACACATATTTTATGGTAATTACACCCAGAT